TTCTTTTGTGCCTTCTCTATGGATGACTGTCTTTTGAATATTGTGATGAATGGTCAAATGATTTAATCCTCAAGGCTTTATTATGCACACCCCCCCCCCCCCCCCCCCCCCCCCCCCCCCCCCCCAACCCAAAATGCTTACATAATTATAGATGGTGGATCTGAGGTTATGCTAGAATCATTGTGTACCGTATATGCGGCCAACAAACACATTTGGAAGGGTGGTTTAGTTGATGGCTTACCTCTTGGACTCTGGATGCTTTAAACTAAACTTCATGGACATTTTCAAGAAAAACATTTGGACTTGGTTGGCTTGTTGAATTTTGAAACCTGGTAAGTGCAATAATATGGCTGGTTGAACCAATAAGGGCACGTTGAAGTAACTATGACATAAACAAAAAAAAATAACTATGACATTATATACAGCATTTAATTTTGATAGTGTCATGTATTTCGTTTTTTTTTAGTGGTGTAAATTTTGGTGTGTATACTAGTCTGTTGAAAACACATGTACACACAAATGTACATGTCAGAATTTGCACTTTTTAGGGAAGAAAACTTACGGTGGGGTGTCTTATCAACATGTGGAGAATGGAGATAGAATTCATCTCCAATTCCACAACCATAGTGTATGACGTTGGGTTGGTCCACAAAGTTCTATGTTCTTTTGTGCCTTCTCTATGGATGACTGTCTTTTGAATATTGTGATGAATGGTCAAATGATTTAATCCTCAAGGCTTTATTATGCATTGAGCCTTTAAATTGCTGGGTTTATACCTATTTAGTGCGATGGCATGGTCATAGAAATGTTACGATGAATGGTCAAATTGGTTTTATCCTCATGGTTGTTGAGCCATTAAATTGTTGAGTTTATAGCTCTTTAGCATGATATCATGGTCATGAAATGATAGAATTAACCACACACACACATATGTGATGTTGTGGCCCAAATTTTGTTTCGGCCCGGGTCTCAACGGGCTTTGTGGGCACAAACCCACCTTGGAGGAGGCTTATGCCGAACCACGAAAATCTTTGTGTTCTTTGTGTGTAGCATGTTTACTTTTCTGTTGTAATTCTTGTTTTGTTTTGGTTCACTACAAAGCTTGAACCAATTCTGACAGTGATGAATATGAGCGCAATTGAAATTCCTGGGGAACCTTTGCTTCGATACACTTACTGCTTAGCTCCTTTTATTTGCAAATCCTTTTGTTTAATTCTAGAAATATGAAAAATACGTATTTTTCATATTTTATGGCCTCGGATGTCGCTTGCTTTGTCGGATAATATCAAGATTTCACTCCTACAATGCCACTCTGGATTCAAGTTCAGCGTCTTCCTTCTTAACAATATATATGTTTTCTTTCACTCTCCCTTGGGGATAAAATGTGTGAGATTTTCACGAGTTCTAGTTAACTGGCTGGTAATTCTTATAGTGTTGGCTATTAATTTCATTGGACATTAAATGAATATGAAATATTGTGAAATTGATTATATCAATCCTTTATTGTACTAATACCTCATTTGCACCTGCATGAGGTGGTAGTTATACATATGTGCCTCTAAAGTTGTATATAACTGAACACATTATCTGACATTTCAATCCTATACTTTGAATATATTATTTTTCATACTTTTGAGAAATTTCAACAAAGAAATTCCGAAGAGTGGGCAACCAAACAAGCATGCTAAGGCCGAAGGAAAACGGCCAATGAAAAACCTTTTTTTTGAGGGAAAAAAAGAAAAGAAAAGTATTATCACCCATAAAAGTAGTTTTTGTATGATTTCCCCAGATTTCTAGTCACGTGCTTTGCACATGCAATTTTTTTACTCTCAAACACATATAAATGGAACTAATTTGTATATCAGATTATTAGTATTACTAATATAGTGAAATTTGTATATTGAGAAATTAGTGAAATTAGCCTATTAGTCAATTTATCCTAATAATTGCTAGTTAATTGTAAACTAGTTATATTTATATAAATTTTATTAATGTATAACTAGTTTATTTTTGAATTTTTATGACATTCTGAAAATTTCTGCCAAGTTTAATAACATTTTGATATTTTTGGTTTACTTTTATTCCATTAGAAAAAATCCTATAGAATAATGCATGTGAAGTATGAAGTATTTAATATTTAATAAACACATATTTATAATGGTTAATATTCTTTTAAAAAAAAAATTAAATAAGTAATGCAAAAAAAATTGAATAACTAAGTTAAAAATCAGAAAATTTTAAAAATAAGAAAAAAAAAATCTAAAAATTTGGATACTTGAACAATGGATCATCTTTATATTTTCAAAACAAAAACTATGACTTGAACAAAAATATAAAAAATTTAAAGATTGTTAGATTGGGAGATGTGGACCAAATCTACAAACATGGTTTATACATCTAACTTTAAATGATGTTTTCCTGTTAGAACAAAGTGCAGATTTGGAATGTGATTGAAGATTTTTTTACCAAGTCTTGTGTTTTATGAACTTTGAATGTAGATCGGATGCGTAGGTAGCGTTTGGATGCTAAAAAAATAAGTTGGAAGAGGTAGAAATGGAAGAGGTGGGGAAAAAGAAGATTTTATAGTCAGGTGGCCGACTTGGCTATGACGAGCATTGGCGACTTTATAATGGCCATTATGAGGTCGTCTTGCCTGAGCCTAGGAAGTACAAACGCTCTTGTAGGAGTGTCATGACCGTGTCGGGCATGTGTCCGATACGAACACGTGTGGGACACTGCTAGAAGTGTCCTCTAATTTGAATATTTCTTTTCTCAGTTGGACATGGTGGAACATGACATGGACATGGCGGGTAGTTTGCAATTATTATTATTATTTTAAAAAAAACTTTTTTTAATGAAAATTTTAAACATATTATAGGTTATTTAGAAAAATGATATAAAGTTGCAAAATTATGGGTAGATTTGATGTTCGTTCCTCGTATTGTTGCCTTTCTGGATTCTCAGGGGTTGATTTTCCTTGGAATACAGTTTGGCGTTCGAAGGCTCCTCTCAATGTGGCCTTTTTCGTTTGGACCGCAGTTTCGAGTTAGATTTTGACACTTGATAACATGAGAAGGAGAAGACAAGTTACTGTCAATTGGTGTTGTATGTGTACGAAGGATGGAGAGTCAGTGGATCACCTCCTTTTGCATTGCCCCGTTGCTCATGACTGTTGGAGTCTTATTTTTGGCTTGTTTGGCATTCAATGAGTTATGCCACGGTCTTCGAGAGGCTTGATTGACGCTTGGAAGGGTGTTCCGCAGGACCCCATGCCCATGATGTTTGGAGGGTGGCACCTTTTTGTGTTTGGTGGTGCATTTGGATGTAGTGGAATAGAAGATCCTTTGATGGGGAGGAATCTCCCATTGGGTTCTGAAATTTAACTATTAGCTTTCTTTTTTGTTGGGTGATGGGGAGAAATTGTAATTCAATAGAGGAGATAGTTGACTTTTTGGGTTCCTTGGGTCCGTAGGACCTTTTCTTTTGGGCTCCGGCCGTTGTGTTGTCTGTGGGATGTGTTCCCCTCTTGAATGCTCTCTAATTCATTTTTACTTATAAAAAAAAAAATCAATGTATTTTCCATATATATCACTTGTATTCTTTCACCTATTAATGGAGGTACTTATTGTAAACAATTTTAAGAGAGAATATAATGAAAGTCGTGTAGTCCTTTGGGCTGTGTGCCATGGATGTAGGCTGTAGTGGCCGAGCCACGTTATATCCTTGTGTTTTTCATGCTTAATTTCTCTCTTCAATTTTTGTATCTTTCAACAACTATATTATCTTTTTTTGACGTATCCTTTTTGTGGCTATGTCCTTTCTTATTTTTTATTTTTCTCTATCACTTTGTCCATTTTGTGTGCTTCTTAGGACTGAACAGCCAAATCACACGAAATTCTAACACACTGTGATATAGGACTAATTTGGTCTGGCCCCTAATTGAGTATGTCACGACTCAGCTATGACACAGTTTGTGCTGAGTTTTAACACATTGATGTTCTCAAAGAGGTTGATCCCCGTGTATAACTGAGGATTATGAATTCTATGAGTCTCTATGACAAGATAGTAAGATACTATTATTATGTTGTTGGCTTCAACATCTGCATTGATGGATGAATTGTTGAGGACCTCTTTGTGCCTTGTTTCAAGCAGCACTAATAATTGAGATCCATTGTAGAGGGGTAACATGAAAGATTGGCTGCTTGGCTGATAAGAACAAATTTCTCATGCACCAAAATGATAACAAGGAGTCTTAAGGGCCAAAAACTTATTTGACTCAATTATCTTATGAACTGTGCGCGCCTCTTCATTGCCAAATTAGAGCTGCTGTATTGTTTTTCTTAACCATTTCAAATGGTAACACATTATTTTCCTTGTGGTATTGGAAATGTTGTGGGGGCTTCGGTCACGGGCTGTCTCATTTTGATTTTTGTTATTGGTGGACTATGATTAGTCCATGGAGTTGAATTCATTACACTTTGAGATATTGAATGTTTATTGTTCCATATTCATGGATTACCCGTGGATCAGTACTTGTTGACTAGGAAAAAAAATAATCTTATGGACACTTAAATCTTCCTCAAGCGTACGTCAGAATGTGGTTGGTTGTGGCTTTTGTTTTCTGCTGTATTTTACATTTTATTTGCAGCCGTTGTACGAAGAACCTTCATGCTTATGTGTTTTTTTGTTTTGTCCTTGTTTTATTCTCATATAATTGTCTTTTTTTTTTTTTTCTCGGAAATTCAAGCAATATGTAATTGTCTTTCTTATAATAAAGAGTGAGTAAGATCAAGTTCTACCCGCATAAAATAGGTCATTCGGCTTTTCTGCTCGTTGTGCTGTTGGTGTTGCTGTTACTTGTTTATCTTTTGTATTTTTCATTATGGTTTCTTTTGTTAGTTGACATAAAAGGGGAATATATCTTATACGCCTTCGTTATGTTATATCATTATTGTGTTTTGCTCCTTCCCCATTGTTAATTGTTGGCACATTTTTAGCAGATACCCTCATATCTTTCTTCTAGGAAGGAATTCTCTGTAACACCACAGGAAAATGTACCCCAAGGGTCTTCTTCAACAGGAAAGTCAACCAAGTCAGCAAGTTATGTGTCAAAAATTGTCATTGGAAGTGTTGCCTTAGGTGCAGCTTTTATGACAGCTTACAAAACTGGCTATTTGGATGAACTTCTTGTGAAAGAGCCGCGTAGTGCTACTGATTCTGCTAAATTTGGCACCGTTGAGAAGGATTCACCGGACTTGTTGATTACAGAAGATTCGCTGGATAGCAAACTTTTAGGAGATGAAGTTGCCATTCCCCAAATTAAAGAGTCAAAAGAATCGATTTCTAGTGCAGAGCATACTGAGGAAAACACTAAAACTCACTCAGTTGTCCCCCCCCTTGAAGATTTTAGCCGAAGTGAAGGAGAGAGCCAGCTTCAGGAAAGTGATAAATCAAATTTGGTGCGTGAAGATGATACTTTTCCAATCCAAGAAAAAGAGTTGCCCAGCTCTCCTCAGAGCAGCACGACATCTGAAGAGAGTTTTGACACCGGAAGCCCAGAGTTGAAACACAGAGCTGAACAGCATGAGGCAGTTAAAATGACACCAGTAATTACCCAGGCTAATGCAATTCCTGAAGAAAATGAGACAAAGTCAATGCCACCCCAGCGTCTCACCACTAAGGACATGCCAGAGGTACAAACGTTTTTCTGCATCAAACATTAAATTGAATATGTTTCATATTTCAGGGTACTTTCTTCTTGCAGAATACCCCCGCTAATGGTATAGAACAGCCAAGTTCCCTCCTTGATGCATATTGTTTAGGAGATAAGGCTGAAGAAACCTCTGCAACTTCCTCAAATGTACACAAGGTTAGTGCTTTCAAATATTATTCCAAATAAAAGGGGGTTGCTTTATTGAAAGAACTTGTAGCAGATTGCATGCATTCACCCTTGCTAATTCATCATTATTCTTATGGAGAAATAACATCTGCTATTTTTTGTCATAATCCTTGGTTTTGTAAAAATGAAGGATTTAGTTGGTGGCGTTGAAAGTTCAAATGATGTTTACATATCCAAGGATGGAAAATTGGTTCTTGATTTCTTACAAGCCATTCATACAGCTGAGCAAAGGCAAGCAGAATTAGATGCTCACATTTTTGCTGAAGAAAAGAGGATGTTAAAGGTTTAGTTTTATAAAAAAACACTAGCACAGGAAATTCAAATTTATAATATTGTAATACGTGGTTTACAGCTAAAATCTCTTATTCTTGATTTCAGGGCCTTGGGTCATTGCTTAACAGTGATATTAATTTGCTGATTGTATTTATTTAAATAATGTAGGAGAAGTATGAAAAGGAATTGAAGGATGCAAGGGCCAAAGAACTTATGTATGCTGAAGAGGTAGCAATGTTGGATAAGGTATGCAGAAACAAACACAGTTTTACTTTATATCTAATATTTGTGTTTTTTTATTTTGTTTGACATCCACATTCCCCTTTCTCATTTATCAACTCCAGACTTGAGCTTTCAATGGTTTGCTTCTTGCTTTCTGGCTACTTTATGCGATGTTAGTGCTGGTTTACTGAGAATTGCAATTATCTCATTTTGCATCCTGCGTGTTGTTGTGAGCCACACAAGTAATTTCTTTCAAATCACTCTTTGAAGTCTTTTAGGCTCTACTTTGCCTTCTCTGTTCTCAGCTGTAACTATATTGAAACCACTCGAAACAGTTTCTCAAACCAACATATATATATAGATATATATGTATGAGTTGTAGCTTAGTAAACTGTTAATGTTTGAGTTGTGTTCCATAGGAAAGATTAACCCTTGAAATTATATGACAACCATTGGATATTCTCTGTGTTCCATGTGCTTGTCTATGTGTAGTTTTTGTATGATCCTGGCAATATTTTTGAGTTTTACTGGTACAGTTTACTAATGCTCTCAAGGGAATCAGATAATAATTTCCACATCCCCACTATTTTATGATCAATTGTATAGTTGTTCTAAACTGGCTTTGCTATCTTGTGATATATGAATGGTCATCAAAATCACAATTACCCAACCTGTTTGCAGGAATTAAACAAAGAGAGAGTGAAAGCGGCTGCTGCACTCAAGTCACTACAAGAAAAATTAGAAGAGAAACTCGTGATGGAACTTGAACAAAAGGTCCAGATTTAGTTCCATGCTGTGAACAAATTTTTCTTTATAGTACAATAATTAAAGGCTTCTACAAGTTGCCAATCCTTAAAATTGTAGGAAGCTGAAGCAGAAAGGAATCTGATGACAATGGAGGAGGTAGCAAAAGCAGAACTGGCTGCGGCTATTGCAAGCGAGAAGGCATCACAGATTGAAAAAATGGCAGAAGCAAATATTCATGTATGTCTTCTGCTGAAGTTACTTCAGCTCGTATCGATGTAACTGTAATTGCTAATTTATAGTGCCTATATTCTGTACATATTCTAGCTGAATGAAATTCAGAGACCAACTTCAATTTTGAAGGGGAATATCGAGAAATATTAGGCAAAAACTACTGTAGAGTTCCCTGTGCAGAATTGCTGATAAAACATAAAATAACACAGTGAAATTTACTGTGGAAGTTGACATTTTAAGACCTAAATTCAGTTGCTGGGGGCATCTTTAATTATATAATTTTCAGAATAATATATTTCGGTGATTTTAACTTCCAATGCTATAATACATAAAAAAAAATTAAATATAACTTTAATCACAGTTATATGCTATAGTAAAACTTTTATTTTAGGGTAAATTACAGTGACACCCATGAGCTAAGGCCTATTACAGGCAGTGAGTTTTGCAAAAACCTACACAAACACCCCGTCGTAGTTAGTGTTAGAATTTCGTGGGAAACATCGCTTTTGTCCCTTGTCTTATAATGCTAGTTTTAACCAACATCTCACAACTAAAATGACTAAAATGCCCCTAACTAATGTATAACTGACACAACACCCACCCCTATCTTTCTCTTCTCTCTCCCTCTTCCCCCTCTTTCTCCACCCACCACTGCCACCCTTCTCTATCGCACTCCACCCGCCACAACCATCTCTTCTCTCTCTCTCCACCCGTCCACCACCACCCCTTCTTTATCTCACTCCACCCACAACCACCCACCCTCTCTCTCTCTCTCTCTCTCTCTCTCTCTCTCTTCACTTGAGAACCAATCCTTTACCATTGATTCTCTCTCCTGTCCCTCTCTCTCATCCTCTTCTCCTTCCTCTTCACCGCCGCTTGCTTTCCTCCGCCACATTGTGAGTGGAAGCTTCCTTTGGATCACTCTCGTACTCCACCTGTTCTTCCCCAACACCACATAAATATTAGATTCCTGAAAAACAACACTAACCATAACAACTGTTCTCAAAAAATATTCACAAGAAAACCACAAAAATGAAACTTTTGAAACAATCTCACACCAATTTGCACAAAATTGGGACCCTAGACCGGTAACTTATCACTGCATTCATAAGAAAACACCTAAAAAAAGGAGGAATGAGACCCTACACCAATAACTTCTAACAGGATTCATAAGAAAATTAGTCTGTGCAAGGGTGTCTTTCTTGCATGGATTCCTCGCTCTCCTGATGTTGTTGCCAACGAGATGGGCAGAAGAGTTTTGAGCGATAACTTGGGTGTGGGTCAGTGGTTTGCTTGGCCAGGGTGGCTTGAGGAGGTTGAGAGACTGGACTGTAACCTGTTAGGTCTTTAATGCACCTCTCTCCTTTTGACAAGGGAAAAAAAATAAGTTTATAAGAAAACCAAAAAAATTGGAATTATTCATTCACCCAACTATAACAATGGCGGATCGACCATCCTTGCTGCTGATCATCTACTTCAATCGAGCCCTCACATCACCGTCCTCTTTCCCTGCATCATCGTGATCCTCTAAGCCCCCCATTTTTACCAAACTAGCATCGCCCATACCACTACCATAGCCTCATCACTACAAAGTCTTTGCCATCTTCAATATGGTTCTTTATATTCATTCTGTGGTAATTCACTTCTATTTGTGGAAGAAGATGGGGAGCTCAAAGGGAATAAAGAGAAAGTTGGTTGAAGACTGTTTTAGAGAGAGAGAGAGAATTGAGTACTTGGGGCTGGTAATATAAAGGAGAACTTGGGGAGAATGTATGGCAATCCGGTCCGGGATTGGGCTTAATTGTAAAATCCGATTAATTTTTTACTTATAAAAAAAAAAAAAATTGTATGGCAATGTAATATATATGTTTGAAGATAAAATAATATATATTTTTTTCATATTGAAGATATAATAATTTGTTATATACTTAAATATACAGAAATGATCTCTTGCTCACCGGTGAGAAAGAAATTCATCTACACTAAGCATGGTGACTGTTGGATCTGATTGTTATGTTTTTCTCGTAATTACCTTTTTTACACTTACATCAAATCTAATGGTCACCATGCTTGGTGTGGAGAAAGTTTCTTGCTCACTGGTGAGTAAGAGATTATGTCTCCTTAAATATATATTCAATTTTCAATTTAATTTAATAGATTGTGTATTTATTTTTTCAAATATATAAATATATATGTATGTATATATAATTTGCAAACTTTTAGAAATTTCTAAAGTTTATAAATTATTATTTTTTTAAATATTTATATAATATATGAATATATATTTAATGGAAAATTATAGATTATATTAGTTATAGTTGACTATAGATAATATTAGTTATAGTTGACATTTTAAAAATATATTTAATAAAATTTACAGCATTTGTAATTTACATCTATGCCATATGGACTTAGGTGCATGTGTCCGGTACCTATGTATGCGTTAGACGTGTCAAGTTGCCAAATACAAGGACACATGGATACTGCTAAATATTCATATCAGTTAATATTTTTTATTTTTTAGAGTAAAATAATGCCTTTATGTAACATAATCTTCAATACTGACATTTCACTCATTTTGAAACCATAATATAATAGATTTCAATTATTGAATGTCTTTTTAGGTCTATGTCCAACCAAAATTGTCAGACACATTCTATACCCATGTTCGAGTCTTGTGTTTCCTACACGGGCAGTTCACCTACTTTTGAAGGGTCCATGTAACATAGATTTACATTTTGCAATTTTAAAAAATTTAACATTAATTTACTAATTTGGAAACTTGCATGAATTTGTAATATTTTTCTTACATAGTAATTTGAAATTTTGGAGAGAGAGAGAGACTACAAATTTATGTGCAATGTAAAAAGAGGTTTTGTCCATATATGAAAATTTTCAAAGGATAAATTGGTCATTTCAAGTGATAAAGGTCACATAGGTCCTTTTACCAAATCAATGGGTAAAAATTGCAGTTCACAAGGTGTCAGATAACAAACAGACCCAATGATTAGATAACAGTAGGGCGTGGAAGAAATCGCGCGCCAAATCTCAGGCGGTCTCAATTTAGGTTCTTATAAAACTTAGAACTTCTTGTAATTAGGCCTTACCTCAAGTGTCAATGTAATTAGCTTTACTTTACTATTATATAACAATTTACAGACTAATGGAAAATCAACATCAGGTGCAGAAGGTGGGAGGGATTGTTGGTGAGAGTTTTACTGCAATAAGGATACCAAGTTGTAATTTGGAGAAATTTATTAAAAATATGGTTTTCAGGACATCAAAATTTTGAGAAACTTTGACACTTCAATGAAATGCAAAAGATATGCCATTTGCCTACTGGAAAAACTAAACCTTTTGTTTAGACTCTGAAGTTTCTGGTCAGATGTCAAACGTTGGTTTAATTTATCTTACTTTCTATGAAATTTTTTGTGTATTAAAATTTTCTTGTCAAATAGGATAATGCATAATAAATAAATTGTTTTATGTATTTCTTATTTATTTATTTCTCTTCCTAACCATACAAAAATCGTGGATTGATTTATTTCGGAAGGTGATGTAGTTGAGGTTCGTCTTTTGTAGATAAGTGCCTTGTGCATGGCATTCTATGCAAGATCTGAAGAGGCTCGTCAGAGTCATTCCGTTCACAAGCTTGCTTTGGTAATAATTTTTTTTGATTCTCTATAATGTTATTTTCAGTTACATGTTGAATAATATCGAACAAGGGAACTTCTGGTCAGAAAATAATAGAGGCTGATATCCAAATTCTATTGATTACGGTCGACCTCTAATAACTAATAATTGACGTAATAATCTATAATAGTTAACAAAGCTATTAAGAAGCCAACTTTGGTTATATTGTAGATTATTAATAGTGAAAAGAGCCAAAACTAGCTATCCTTAATCCCACTTATGGGGTTTGCTTTATAGATCATATCAGCTTGACATTAACCTTATATGATGGGGCCTACCATTAGTGGTTGACCTGGGAAGTTTTTCTTTGGGGCCAAGGTCGATAGAATAGTTTTGTGACAAACGGGTCCATGTGTGTGACGGTGCCTTTAGAGAATACTAGAAAGTTGTGCATGCACGATGCACATGATCTCACTCATGGAGGGAGGGAGTAAGAGAGTGGTGAGCCATAGGTGGTCTGACTATGACCACATGAAAGCCGCTTACTATCTGTAAAGGATCCCATCACTTTGCTTGTACCTTCTTGGCTTAGGCTTTCAACTGAACTTACTTTATGGCCTTACGGTCCCGCCAGACTGGGTGGGCCGGAAGGTATGTACGAAGACAGAAAGCAATGCATTTGCACAAGCCTATGTGCTCTTAAAGGATCTCACGCAAGCTTATGTGCTCTCAAGGGATGATGGAATACTTGTGTTCATGAGAGATGTGTTTCGAAACCTAGGAGTGATTATATAGGACTTTGTGTTGCAAAGATAGTTTTAAATTAATTGGGAAGCCACGGGAGGTTTGAGGTGCGATCCTACTATAGCATTCTATTGGGTGCTCAGGGGTCTTCCTTCCCATGGAAGGGAATTTGGCCCACCGAAGCCCCCTTGAAGGTGGCTTTCTTCGGTTGGATGGCAATCCTCAGTAGGATTTTGACGATTGACAACCTTAGGAGGCGTCTGATCATTGTCAATTGGTGCTACTTGTGTAAGAGTGGCGAGGAGACAGTTGATCACCTCCTCCTTCATTGCCCCATGACTAGAGACGAATGGGCCATGTTATGCACCAGCTTCGTGATGCAGTGAGCCATGCCGGCTTCCAGTAAAAGTTTGCTCGAGACTCGGAGCGGATGTGTAGTGGGATCCCAAGCTAGAGATGCTTGGCGAGTCGCCCCCTTGTTCTTATGGTGGGCATTGTGGAAGGAAAGAGCCTTTTGATGGAGTAGAATCCACAATAGGAGTGATGAATGATTTTTGTACTTAGTTCTTTATTTTTGTTGGTGCATGGGCAAAATTGTAAATCCTTGGAGCTTTTATTGTCTTCTGTGGATTGCTTGGGGGTACATGCAAGCATATCCTCATGCATTGCCCTATGGCGTACGATTGTTGGTATCTTATTCTTGGGTTGTTTGGCATGCGTTGGGTAATGCCACGTTCTTTTAAGGATTTGATTCAAGCTTGGAGAGGATGTCGTGTGAGTAGAGGTGTACGCGATTACTGGAGAATTGTCCTACATCGTGTTTGGTGGGGCATCTGGAAGGAGAGGAATAGTAGAATGTTCGAAGGAAAGGAGACGTCTACGGCGACGCTAAAATTATTCGTTCTCTTTTCAGTTACGTAAAGAGGAGCTCTTGTTCCTCTTCCAATGATTTAATTATTTTTTTGGATTCTTTGAGGCCTTAGTCCCCGGTTCCACTTTTTGTCTAAGGGACACGTTCTCTTTTTGAACGCCTTTTTATTTCATTATTACTTATCAAAATAATAATAATAATAATAATAATAATAATAATAATAAATGGTAACTTCTTCCCTCAAGGTTCAATCTATCCATTGATTGTTGATTGAAATCGAAAGGACCAATCGATCGAACTCCCTCTTCAGTTAAAACATGGTTTTTCAATCTCACAAACTGATGTGAATGCTCTTATAAAAGCCCTAATTTGGTGAATCAGTACTTGAGAGGATGATTTACCTTTTTGCCATTGATGAAGTCTTGACTTCACTCCGTTGAAGCACTTTGGATCAAAATTAACAGTAATACTTAACTAACTAAACTAACTTTTAAAAACATAAATAAACAAAAAAAGTAAAAATACATTCTCCCTTTTGTTGAAATTTGTCTGCCTAAATCCTATTAATGTTAACCTAATCCCCCTAGAATTAGGATGATGGCTTCAGTTGTATGGTAGCATGGATAGTAGAAGTTCATCTCTCCTGGTCTTCCCTTGCCCTCCTCCAGCCAGGGATGCTCTTTTAAATTTTAAAAGATTGAAAACAAAGTTTTCACCAACAAGCTAGTGGCCTAGCGGTACCAAGCCCCTACTTCCCAAAGGGAGGTCAGGGGTTCGAGTCTCAGTGGAGGCATGTGTGTGTGAGTATCAACTAAGATTAAAATAAAAAATAAAAAATAAAAAACAGAGTTTTCAATTTTCTTTTATTTCCTTTTCTTTTATTTTTTATTTTTTGGGGTTTTATGTGTGCGTTTCTTAGGGTGTGTGAGGATTGCAAATTGTATTCCAGTGACTGCCGTGAACTTATTCTATTTGTTATACAATTTACACCTATTCAACCAACAAGTATTCCTAAATTTTTTTCATTCCTATTGGAAATGGATGTACTCTATTCTCTAGGGTGTTGTTTTGCAGAGGGTATGCCCTCTCCTCCTATTGTACTTTATTGCTATATCTTTTGAAATAATATTACCAACCCATTCATGAAAAAAAGAAAAGAAAAAAGTATTTCTAAATTTGAAATTATCTACATGAAGAGGGCTCCATTTTGACATCAAGAAATTGCAATCATTTTAGGCCAAAAAGAACCAGCCATATGTTAAAAAAGTGCATTATATAGTTATAATCTCGCCATGACAGGGTCCTGGGGAGGGAGGACTCGAGGCAGACCTAATATTTGGTATTTTTTATAGTGCTGCTCTAAGATCAAACTCACACCAGTGGACTTCTGCTCAATTGTTTTACCGCTGAACTGGGCAATGACCCTCCATATGTGGTTCACACAATTAATTGTGGTGTCTTCGTTTCTAGAGATACATAAGTAAATTCATATTTGCTTGCACTCGAATGCTTTTACATTTATTAATAAATAAAAATATTCTTACCTAGATTTTCTTTGCCATGAAGTTCACATCTTAATTAGATATGTAGTGCAGTCTACCATGAAGTTCACATCTTAATTAGATATGTAGTGCAGTCTACCTATTCATTCACATGTAAGGCACAGAGAGATTAAAACTACTTAACTAAAACTCTCTCTCTCTCTCTATATATATATAACTCACTTTTTGAACTACCATCAATTTCTCGTTCAAAGAACATTTTTTATTTTATTTTATATTAGGACACTTGTAGTACAAGATGGCATGCTTATCTTGAAGATGGGGCCAACATTTAATAAGCCCTATGTAAGAGATAAGATGCAGAGAAATAGTATCACCCAATGATCTTAGCCTTTCTATCATAATTTCTTGTAATGGTGCAAAAGTTATGGTTCTTGGCAAAGTATGTGATCAATCAATTTGCTAAAAACCTGATTCTTGTGCTCTTTAGTTGAGACTAGTAAATGCTGGCCTTGTCAAAAAAAAATGCTGGCCCCAATTTTTAGAATAAACATGTCATGATGTGCGTTGTATGCTTGATTTTTGTGATGTCGTGCTCCAGCACCACAACAAGGTAAATCCCATTCATATGGAATTTCTAATAATGGGTTTTTGTGGGTAGAACATGCTGATTTTTGTGTCTTTGAAGTGACATATTATTTTATTTTTTTTTATTTTCATTTTATTTTTGAAGTATTGAAGCCAATTTTGAAAGGCTTTTGTACCCCTCCCCAAAGAAAGGCCTTATCTTTTTCAATTTTTGCACTAGGTTGTAGACTTCTATGAAATGTTTTGGCTAGGGAAATTCAAAGAAGAAGTTTAAAGCTTAAGAATTCAATTGTTCAATAAATTTTGCGGCCTCCAAAATTATTTCTTATCATAAGGTCAACTACATAAGAGTTTTTACCACATTAATCTTTTTAAAGTTTTTATTTTTTATAATAAGCCTTGTATCTGAGTCAGTGTTTTTTTTTTTATTTTTTTTTTTTGTCTCATGCAGGGAGCACTTGCATTGGAAGATGCACTGTCGAAAGGGCTACCGATTCAGAAAGAAATAAATGTTCTCCACACTTATCTTGGAGGCATAGATAAAGACTCACTTTTAGATTTGGTTCTATCATCCATTCCGGAAGAAACACGGAACCATGGCACAGATACCCCATTGCAATTAAATCAAAAGGCAAGTTGTTTGAGGGTTAACATTGTCACAGTATAAGATATATTGCTAATTCTGTGTGTCAACACTCTCATTTATTGGTCACATTTTATCTTAATGTTTCTCTTCATTCAACATAAGTCTTCATCATTATCAAAGATCATATGCTCCAATTTTACCTGATAATAGTACTAACAAGAAATTCATGCCTAAAGTGGACATTGGGTGGTTGCTTTTTTTATTTTTGATTTTTTGACCGTCTTTTGGTGGTTTTTGTGATTAGTATTTTGTAACTAAATGCCTTGTTCTTATTGACTTATATATATATATATATATATATATATATATATATATATATATATATATATATATATATATATATTTATTTATTTTTATCTATGTTTGACTTAAACTCTGCTTCTATGTTAGTCTATCAATATCAAAGACCTTAAACTGCTGTTCTTCCCACTGATGGGAGTAACAAAATTTTTACTTGTTGAGGGGAGCTGTTGTGCGCCACACAGCCGAGAGCTCTCCATCACTAACCTCTTGGTGGTACAAAATCTCCAAGAAACCAAAGACGTGATCCAGCTCTCAATCCTGAAATTGCCTTGAGAAATGCACAATCCCAAGTCGTCCTCCCATTTTCAACCCGATAACAGTTGACCACCAGAGCATGCCGATTCCTAGCAATCCGAAATAAATAGGGAAAAGAGCAAGCCAAAGTACGATCATCACACTAGATGACCTCCCAAAAGCGAATGCCCCTACCATCCCAAACTCTGAAGATATGTTTTGAAAATTCACCCCACCCCTTCTGGATGAATCTCCACACACTAACCCCTCCCGGGATCCTCACTTCAACGGAGCACTACCCCCCCCTCTCCTCCCCAAATTTGCTGGAGATAACCCTCCTCCAAAGCCTCTGCCTCTCCATTCCAAAAGACCACAACCACTTCCCCAGAAGGGCACCATTAAAAGGTGCCAGCCTTCTAATTCCCAGGCCTCCTGATTGAATTGGCCTACACACCTGCTCCCATTGAGCATGGTGATATTTGAACTACTCTCTCATACCACCCCACAGAAAGTTCTGCTGAAGTCTCTCTATCCTCATGGCTACTGAGGACGGGATCTGAAATAAAGATACGAAATAGGTAGGGAGACTTGACAAGGTGCTCTTCATCAGGGTGACTGTCCCTCCCTTGAAAGATGCTGCTTCTCCACCCCACAATCCTTCTCTTAAATCTCTCAACCACAGGATCCCATCCACCCACTCTTCTCGAGGGCGACCCCAGAGGCAACCCCAGATACGAGATGGGAAAAGCGCCAACTCCACAACCCAAAATATTGGCTAGAGCATAAATCTCCACCACCTCCCCCACTGGAACGAACTCACTCTTCCCCACCTTAATTTTCAAGAGCAGCGTGAAACTAGATCAAGAGACACCTCAAATATATGAGCCGAGACTCCTCTGCATCACAAAAAAACTAGGGTGTCATCTGCAAACAACAGTTGGAAAATCTCTAACTAGCTAGCATGATCTCTAGATTCTCTACCCACTCTGAAGCCTATAATAACAACTCTACTACCCTTCGCATGAATCTGTTAAGAGCCTCCATCACAATAATGAATAAAAAGGGGAAAGTGGGTCCCCCTGCCTCAAACCCCTCGAACTGCTAAAAATAATGTCGGGGACCCTTTCACAAGAACCGAAAACTTCATTGAAGAAATTCAAAACTCAATCCACCTCACCCCAATACCCATCCTCTCGAATAGGTAAAGCAAGGAACTCCACTAAGATGGTTGTAGGATTTCTCAATGTCAAGCTTACACAGGATTCCCGGAACCCCACTACTCAACCTTGAATCCCCACACTCACTGCAATGAGGGCTGAATGACGACCGTCACAAAGTCTGGACATCCATTATCATTTCACAATGGACTAACCAATGCACGAGACCCCGCCGTTGCGGAGTTTGGGAGTGTTACATGTATGCAGTCTCAGCTCTGCATTTAGAGAGATTGTTTCCTGTGACTTTCAAGTCACAATGGAGCAACTTTACTGTTGTGTCAAATTGCGAAGGCGACGGCTCTTTTTTTGCTTAGTACGGCAAAGCCCCTTCTCATTGTCATTTCACAATCAACACTTTATTGTCGAAATCCACAAAAATGAAAAAATAATAATAATATAAAATTCAGCGCCTTTGCTAAAAAGAAAGGCAAGCCTCCCTCTGTGTGCACTTGTTAGCGTGCCCGTGCTTCCCAGTGCTTCCCAGATTCTTAGGACGTATGCAGCACATGTCAGTGCATCCTTCCTAGATTCTTACAAAATTCGTGGCTAAATCATAACTTCTCCAGTTCTAAACTTACCATATGGTTAATGATTTTTGTGTTGAACCACAGATTGGTGTGGGGTCGGTGGTGTGGTTTGTGCTTGTGTTCAAACAATAGAAATAAAACTCACATTCTAGTTGGAAGCTTCAAGTTTTTTGAAAGACATCTATTTTTATTTATTTTTTATGTTTTAAACTTACTGTTGACCAGTTAAAATTTCTTTGATTCTTGATGGAATACATCTATGATGTCAAGTTCACATAGAATCAGTCCCCCCTCCCAAAAAATAAAAATTGAAAAAAAGGAACCAATGTAGATGCATATATTTATCTAACTCCCTATTGTTCTCACAGTTTGATGCTTTGAAAGGGACACTGCGGCAATTCAGCCTAATTCCACCTGGTGGCAGTGGCTTTTTTTCACATCAATTAGCTCAAGTTGCATCCTGGATGAAGGTGCATAAACGACTTTACATTCCACTTAAAGTTTCACAATGTTGTTATAAGTGATCATTCACTCACTACTTGGAATCTCTCTTATATTCAGGTTAGGGAAGCTGACCAATCTGGTAATGGGATTGAATCTGTAATAAACAGAGTCGAGAGCTTCTTAGCCAAAGGGAAACTCTCTGAAGCAGCTGATACTCTTGAGGATGGTGTCAAAGGAAGCCAAGCAGCAGACATAGTTCGTGATTGGGTTAAGCAAGCAAGAAACAGAGCTATCACGCAACAAGCTTTAACACTGCTTCAGTCCTATGCTACTTCCATCAGCGTTACTTAAACTATTATCCATAGTGGATCAATCTTTTAGCGTGTAGACTTTCTCATGTATGATATTAGGTTTTCATTGAATTAGTGGGCTTGCATACTGAGAGTATGCTCTTCCAATTTGTAATCCATGGGAACGATGATAATGACCTTATGGCCTTCGTCTTTTGAGGGGTTTAAAAACTCGGGAGTTACTGTGAGCAATTGCGGCATTTTCTCTTTTGGGATGAACAATTGAGTGGTTTTCTTCACTTTAATAAAATTCCATTACTTCACCACCAAAGATTTCTTCCTTTGGTCCTTTTTTCGTGGGAGAGCTGAATTGTTTTTCTAGTTAACCAGTTTTATGGCGCTATTGAATGCGAAATGCTGCAGGTGCTGTCAAAATTTGGAGCAAGGCTTTTGCCAAGTTACATCTCCTTCTTCCTCACATAAGATGTTCAAGTGTTAAGTGGTGTGGTAATGGTGTGTGCGAGTTGGGCATCTGTGTGCTTACTTACCAATACAAATGTTGAAATTTTAGTGTTTTTGGAGTCTAATTTCTTTATCATCTTGTTTTAATTGTGTTCTGTCACTCAAAGATGCACAGTGGACAGATGGGATTAACCCGTTATCGAATCTCACATACTGCTTGACATGTTTTTAATTACACTTCTTGTATAAGTTACTGTAAACTTGGTAATGGCTTATACAATTATATATATATATATATCCGTTTGATTTAGGGGAGGAGAGAACTCGAGAGTGACTTGTACCTCTGCGTCTTGGGACTCTTATTCTCAAATTGGTAGGATTTGATTTGGGTCCAATTCGACCATGCTATAATGCATTCGAGACAATAAACGGACATTTAGTTGTTGTAGAGCTTTATTGTCACGAAGATAATGTCAGGTCACCCCTTTATTAGATAATGGCAAGCCAACGGCTACTACCTTGACTAGAATTGATGCGGCTATTTGCTGACTTTTTCCCTATTTGTTTCAATTAATTAGAAGGAAATATACTTGGATTTGATTTTTGTTTTTTTATCGGTAGCTTAATAATTTTTTTTTTTTTTGTTAATAACAAATAAGTATGGAAACTATCAAGTTCTGTCTTTGGGAAGATTTGAAGGGAGTCAGATGTATGTGGTTTTATTTTTTCATGCAGAGATGTTTCCATTTCGGACTTGTGTACACCAAAGACCGCCAACCATGAATACATATATTTGTATACATATATTTGTGTGTGTGTGTGTGTGTGTGTGTGTATAAATATATATATGTTGAATTACTTCATCGAGGGTTAACAAAGTAGGTGTCATTAAAATGGTGGCCCCGTGGATGATCTGAAAGCGCTTATAAACAACATTTTTTCAGTGAAAATTTAGAACTTATTTACGAGCTCAATAAAGGACACGCATCTAATAAATGATGCCTATATATTTGGCAAAATGCTCTCGCAATAAAGGATATACCCATCTAATAGTGTTTTTTCATCAATGAAGAACATTTTGGTAATTTCAATTTTGCCTTGACATCGTAAGCAGGGACCGACCGACCGAACATAGGACTGACTTTTATATTTTCGTTTTATACCCAATTTTTTTAGAATTTAAGAAGATGTTACCACTAAAATTACAATTTAACCCACTGAATTTTTATTTTTATTTTTATATATTTTTTTTTTGCATTTTTTACTTCAAATTTTTATGATTTTATGAAAATGCCCCCATTAAAATTACAATTCATCTTATTGAATTTATTTTTTTTCATTTTATACTTTAAATTTTTGAAAATTTATGAAAAAAACTTCATTGAAATTACAAAAATGGACCCATTATATAAGTTTGTCCCCACAAATTAAAAAGTTACCCCTCTCATAAAATTTTCTGGATCTGTCACTGATTGTAAGGCCACCGATTCTCATTAATAGTGAAAAACTATACCAACTTATTTCATTTCTATTTCGTAAAACAACTTTATCATATAATAATGGGTATCTAAAATTTAAGGTTAATTACAACGACACCCCTTGAGGTTTGCCTTATTGACAGCTATATACAACTTAGTCGTTTTTTAGATAAAGACACTCCCCAAGTTTGCAAACTTGAACAATGACACCCCAAACATGATGAAAGTACATGTTTACCCTTTGACCAAGTAAAATGACCAAATTACCCTCATCCAAAAAATTCTCTCTTCTTCCAATTTTTTTATCTTTCCATTCATTCCTATGAGCCCTTCTTCCCCGCCGCCAGAGGCCCACAACCGAGCCCATCACCGTCCCGCCGTCACTCTCATCCGAGCCATCCACAGCCGCAGTCCATTCCTCCACTGTCTGCTTACTGCCATCGCAACTCTCTCTTCCTTGGGCTTTGGCTCTGGCTCTGGCGACGACCGTCAATCGATTAAAGTGAAGTTAGAGAGAGAAGGTAAACATGGCAAATATCTGCAACTTTCTAGGCTTTGGCTCTGGCGACGACCAATCGATGAGATTGGACTCTAGCGACAGTGGTGACCAAGCGATGTGATTAGGCTCCAGCCAATAGCACCAGCGATGGCATGCCGGTGACACGATTCGACGTTGACGAGGCAACGAGGTCCGACGACTAGCAGTGGTGATTGCACGACGATGACACGATTCCGACGTCGTTGAAGGGGCAACGATATGTATTTGGTGTGACCAATCGATTCGGATTGATTGGGCAACAACATATTGTTTCTTCTTGTGGCAATCCGGACCAATGAGCATAGATTTAATTAACCATATTTGCTTCAAATTTAACCCAAGAACTATCAAAAACTGACATCTAAAATTTTCGTTAAGATCATAAAGAACTCCGGCGACACTCCAAATTCAAGTAAGCTTAGATGAAATCAAGAAATTTACACATACAATTATATATATATATATATATATATATATATATGTTAGAATCTCTCTCTACTATACCTTCTCTCTCTAACTTCTCTATCCTCTTCCCCTCTCTTTCTGTGATAGTTAGCCTAAAGAAAAGTGTTGATTCCCTACAGCCGAGGCCGTCTTCATCACGGCCGAGCCCTCACCAGCCGCAGTGAGACCTCCACGGTTGAGCCTACATCCACAGTCAAGCTCTCCACCGGCCGAGCACTCCCTCTTGCTCGCCGGCCGTCATCCTAAAAGTGCTCTTCGAACCGTGCTAGATAGTCACCCATCACACGAATCTAAAACCCAACTCCACGATCACTTGATGACAGCTGGCAGCTCAGCCGGTGGAGGGCTCAACCGTGAGAGGAACTGCGGCATGGAATCGGCGACCAAGAATCGAGATTGGGGGTTTGAGAGATACTGTGTGTGTGAGATAGAGAGAAAATTGGGTTTGATTTACGGATTGGCGGTTTGAGGGTATGGAAGAAGAGGAGGGCGATGGAGCAGTTTGTGTGAGAGAAAGAGAGATAAGATGAGAGCTGTTGAAAGAGATAGATGAGATGAGGGGTAGTTTGGTCATTTTAATTGAGGATTAAAATATATCTTAAGGCATATTAGACATTTTATGTAACTTTAAGCTGTGTTTGGCTCTGTTTTTTAAAAATAGGGTATCATTTTTCAAGTTTGTAAACATGGGGGGTGTCTCTGTCCAAAAAATTGTTAAGTTGTATATGGTTGTCAATATGACAAACCTCAGGGGGTGTCATTGTAATTAACCCTAAAATTTATCTACTTAGCTAAAATTTATCTACCCATTATTATATGATAAAGTTGTTTTACGAAATAGAAATATCTACTTAGCTACTTATCTAAATTTGGTAGCTAAGTAGATAAATTTTAGATACCCATTATTATGATATTACGGCAAATAAACTTAAGAAATAATTAAAATCGGCACACTTTCGGTTGGATCAGGCTCTGATACCATTTGTAATGACTTACTCCACTACACGGTATGATATTATCTGTTTTGGGCCTGAGCACGCATGTTTTTACTTTTGAGTTTCACCCCAAAAAGCCTCACACTAATTGGAATGATACACCTACATATAAACATTTCACCTTTCCCTTACCCAGGTGATGTGAGATTGTACACCTGTAACTTACCCAGTGTGATAGCCTATCAATGTCTGGCACCCGTCCACGGCACACCCACCTACAAGGTCATCACAATCATAAAGAACATAAAGATTTACATAGTTAGTCAAAACCTAAGTCCATATTGAAGATCCAACAAAAGAATTCATTACGCAAAAATCTTGAAATTACAAGTTTCAGCTCCCAAACCTTAATTCTCGCTCAAATCTCTTTTCAACGATTTTTTAATGTCTCTCCTTTTTACAATCCAAACCCCAAACACCTTTATATATCGGATTACAAGAGAATACTAAATAGAGTTCACGACCTTCAAGCAAAAATTCAGGTAAACTTTTTTCTCACGGGTGCTGCCCCCTAAATTCCAAGATTTTTGGTGAACTTCCCAGGTGTGACATTACGCTCACACAAAATTCAATCAATGGTCGTCAGGTCGCAATAGGACCAAATTCAAACCACTGCATCACATACGCATATATATACTCTATTTGTTTTAAAATAGATGTCCATATTTGAAAATCTCTCTCTCACTCTCTCACACACACACACATAATTTATCTGTCCCAAAATAGATGTTCATATTTGAAAATCCAACTTTTAAAGGAAAAAAAACATTTAATACATTGTCTTTTTTAAAATTCCAAAACTATTTTTTTTAAGAATGGTGTTAGTTGGCCTAGGTTTTCAAAAGTGAAGGATATTTTTAACGATATAAAATTCTTTTACACTGAAGGATAAATTTTCTGGAACAATTCAAAATAAAATGATGGACAGGAATTATGGGAGGAAGGGAGGGTGTATATTATATATACCAAAATGAACCTTTATGGGACTAGCTTCTTTTTTCAGTTTTGTTTCTTAATTTTTGAAGAAAGAGAATTAAGTCCCTTTAATGACTTAATTTATTCCATTTGCCTGCTTTGATGAGTTCACTGGGCCTGCAAAAGAATGGACAACCCATACATTTTTGGGTCCAATAGAATTCTTTATTCCTTTTTGGCTCACTTTTCAAGGGCGAAGCTTCCTGTTTAGCCTTGGAAAATTTATGTTCCAATTTTCTGAATATATATATAGGTTAAAATCACAAAACTCCCTTATGCTTTTAAAATTGTGCATAAAATATCTAGTAAAATTAAAAATTCCACGAACTAACAAAACATATCAAGTTTTCCTCAAACCTGTGACCGACCCATTAAATAGATTGTGAAATGTCAAATTTGACCTTGTTATTTAATATTA